ATGTCATATCATAACAGGTCTTTCAGTACAGGTCTCTCATATTCTCGCTGTTTATTTCAGCAATGGCTTTCAAACATAACAACAGAGGTCTCCAAACTCAAGAGGCTCAGTTCATGGAAATGTTCCTCAACCTATCAAAGGGGAAAGAAGAGTTGAAAGTGCTCTTTAACATGAATCTGACCAAGAAACATCCTGACAACAACAAGGATGAACAGTTAGAACAACTGCAGGCCGAGGTAGAAGCAATGAGAATCCAGATGCTGGGGAAGATGGCTCTTATCCAGAGCCTAGCCTGAGGACAAGAAGAGCTGAGAGCCCTTGTCAGCAAGCTTCATCAAGTCAGATGCAACCGTATGAAGCAAACAGTCGAGGCTAGGGATCAAGTCATGGGACAAAAGCTTGGTTTAGAGAGTGGAGTTTTCCAAATTGCTGCTACGTCGCATGCCTAACCACAACCTCGCCAAGAAAAACAGGGAAATCGGCGTAAGCGGGATTCATTCACTAGGAAATATACCAAACTCAACATACCAATGTTGCAAGTCTTGCAACACATGTTGATGTTTAATTTGGTCACATTGAAGGATCCTCCTCGGAATCCTAATACTTCCGCTCCTACTTACAATCCTGATGCAATATGTACATATCACTCCAACATCCCGGGACATGATACTGATAGCTGTTGGATGCTGAAATACAAAATTCAAGATTTGATTGATGAAGGAGTACTGGAATTCGCATAAGATAGTTAACTGGATTTCTTTTTCCATTCCTCAAAGGCACATCATCTGAAGTGACAAGTTCTGATAAGTAGGATTTTTGTTCATCTAGAATTTTCAATTTGTAATTTCTTTTGATTGTTCGAACATTTGTTTCATGTCAAACTTTGTTATTTTATCAATGCATTGCATATGTCTGTTTTGAATTTATTCATTCATATTCATTATATTCAAACTGTGCTTTTTCTTTATTTTTGTGATATTCCACTCTTGATCAAAAGCTCTAAGCCTTTAGAGGGAGGATGACAAAAACAATACCATAATCTCATATAGTATGCTTTTGCACAGACCTTGCTAATGATGTATGGGCATTTCTTTCAAACCCTAAACAATCTAGTTATAAGGAAGATAATCCCTAGTCAACCCCTTTGAGCCAAAGAAGTATGAGGTTTTTTCTTTTCACACGAATTAAAACCCTCAATCATAACCTGGGGTAGGGTAGTTTCTCAGTTAAAAGGTGCATTCAATCGCAAGCTCTATCTTCGTGCACAACAAAGAGTATAGAAGATGCTCTCCAAAAATATGGTGATGGTTCCACATAATCGTCAAGACAGGCAGTCTTTATTTTTCAATAGAAAAGCCTGCTAAGTTAAAACCTATGAAGGAGACTTAAGGAAAACTAGGGCATTCCGCTGACTGTAATCACAAAAGAAACAGTTCAAGAAAAAGTAGGGATAACAAAAACAAAAAAATAGGTCCTACAAATCCTCAACAAAAAAAAGAAAAGGTTAAAAATTAATTTCCTTCTCAAACAAATGTTCAATTTCTAAACCATCACCAAATATCAGAGCAAAGATTCCATACTCAATTGGGATCTAAACGCATAATTAACTGAGTTTAGGACTGAAGGACATCACGAAGAGCGGGTTGGGTACTAATAAATTTTGAGCCTTTATCTTTTGTTTCATAAACTGTGAACCAGGCCACGCTACAACCCTTAAAAGTCCTAGCTGAAGCATGGGTTAGTTCGAAAGTATACTGTTACAAAAGGTATCCTGACTCCTGTAAGGTTTGCTTTAAATCCTGAGTTGATATCACACTCTTACAAAATTTGTTCATTTTACTAAAAAATGAATTTTCAAATTTCAAGACAAACATAAGCTTTGCATCTTTAAAATATCATTGCTTGCATATGGCTAATTGTTCAAACAACAAAGAAATTCGCACCACGAATATTCAATGAACGAAGGTCCTCTCAATGGAAAGGATCACCTCAGACAGAAAAGACATTTTCGATAACAGACCTTTCATAATCAAGGGGGTATGGCACAATATCCAACTGATCTGGGGCAGTCAAGTCAAGATTCGAGGAATCTCTCAAAAATGCCAAATAGCCAGGGGTAGACCTCCATCTGAGTCACTTGGGGAATTGGACATGAATTCCAGCAACGAATCATATGCGATCAAACAAACAACTTCTGGAAGTGTGACAACACTTACTACTATGGACAATGACAATTCTCCATACCCGATGAACATGGATATAGTAGGAAGATACTACGCATGAAAAAAGACCCGCTAGGTTGACTGGCGTAGGCAAAGATAAGGGCATCCCGACAAACCAAAAGGTTCGGGAAAAAATTAGGGATATATACAAAAATTGTACACCCGGCAAGTCGAAAACCTGAAAAGGCGGCTTGGGCAAAAAAGGGTATCCCGGTGGACTGAAAACATGAAAGGGAAGTATAGGCAAAAGTTAGGGATTAAAGATATGACTATGTCCCGTCATCTCGTTACATGTCTATCATTAAAAGGTTCATCACTCTGATCTGCATTCACCAAGGACTCCAAGAGTTGGGATGACCCTCAAACCATCCACAAAATCCCGACAGATATTTTCTCCAGCAGGTACAGAGGTAGAGATATCATACTACAAGGTATATGCCACATTCTCAATATGCAGCCTAAAAGTGTCAATTGTTCTCGCATCCCCAGAAGAAGCAAAAATCTCCAATTACTGCTCTAAAATCCCTAGTGAAGCCGCCTAGCTTCTCAGGATTCCTCAACAGGATTTTGACAAAATCCCCAAGCAGTTTGTGAAGTTCACATTCAGCAACAAAGTTTTTATAAATCTCAAATAGTTTATAAAGCCTTATCCCCGGTAGAGCTTATTCCTCTAGCTATGAAAGTTCATCCCCCAGTGGAGTTTATTTCTCCACACTGGTGAAATCTTCAACCAGAACTCTGCCCCTCGGCAAAATCATTCTCAAACAGAAGTCGAAGATTCTCGGCAAAGAAAGGGAATCGCCAACAAAACTATATCCATTCATTATACCAACGAAAATTGAAGAATCACTTTCTTCACTCACCAACAGCAGTTCGGGATTCAGCTTCTTGATACTCTTCAACAACTATCAGGGATTTATTCTCCCAGACAAAGATACTCCACAACAGCATTACATGTTCATACATCATGGCATGGGCATACAAATACATATATCATAATCTCATTTATTTTGGGATCATCATGCACTTCATGCATCATGACATCTCATGAACCTGATTTTACCTTTTCAGGTTAAATTAGCAAACATAAAAATGCTATCAATTTTTACAATAGGTCAAAGATTAATGCTCGAAACCAGAAGAGGAAACTATTTGCACGACCAAGTGGTATTAACACCCGAAACCAGAAGGGAAAACTATCTTCCTTTCTCTAAGGTTAGAGATTAATACCTGAAACCAGACATGACAACTATCTCAACGACCGACAAAAGCAAGTTCCGGATTAATACCTGAAACAAGACAAGACAACTATATATGGACGACAAACTGTAGATTAATACCTGAAATAAGACCGGAAAACTATCTACATGAACCGATTAAAGATTAACACCGGAAACCAGACAAGAAAACTATCTTCCTTTCTCTAAGGTCAAAGATTAATACCTGAAACCAGACAGGACAACTATCTCAATGACCGACAAAAGCAAGTTCCAAATTAATACCTAAAACAAGACATGACAACTATCTGTGGACGACCAACTGTAGATTAATACCTGAAACCAGACAGGAAAACTATCTACATGAACAGATTGAAGATTAACACCCGAAACCAGACGGGAAAACTATCTTCCTTTCTCTAAGGTTAGAGATTAATTCCCTAAACCATACAGGACAACTATCTCAACGACCGACAAAAGCAAGTTCCAGATTAATACCTGAAACAAGACATGACAACTATCTATGGACGACCAACTGTAGATTAATACCTGAAACCAGACAGGAAAATTATCTACATGAACAGATTGAATATTAACACTCGAAACCAGACGGGAAAACTATCTTCCTTTCTCTAAGGTCAGAGATTAATACCTGAAACCATACAAGACAACTATCTCAACGATCGACAAACGCAAGTTCCAGATTAATACCTGAAACAAGACAAGACAACTATTTGTGGATGACCAACTATAGATTAATACCTGAAACCAGACATGAAAACTATCACTACAAGAAAAATGATAGACTGGGACGGTTATTTTGGCTGATTACGACGGTTAAAACCGTCGCAATTTACAATCTACGACGGTAGAAGTACCGTCGCAGAATCGTGCGTCCCCAGCCTATTTCGCGACGGTTGCAAAAACTGTCACGCACAACAGATGGCGACGGTTATATACCGTCGTGAATTTGACTTTATTTTTTGTTTTTGTTGTTGTTTGCGACGGTTATATACCGTCGTGAATTTGACTTTATTTTTTGTTGTTGTTGTTTGCGACGGTTATATACCGTCGTGAATTTGACTTTAACCGTCGTAATCTGATTTATAAATTTCAAATAATATTTTTATTTAAATTATTATTTAGTAAAATAATTTTAAATATAATATTATTTTACTATAATATTTTACTATTATATTTAAATTATTATTTACTTTAATATTTTTTTATTTATAGTATTTTTATTTTATTTTCTATCACTTTTCAACATTGTTTTGAAATGAGCAATCCAATTGTTTTGAAATATTTACTAACTCAGTATTATTAATTCAGTTGGGAAACCATTTGTAAAATAATGCAAGGAGACATTGCTTTTGCTATTGAAGCGTGAGATTTCCGTGAGATACCAGTACTTATTATTGGGAGAAAAGATTTATGAATTATTGCACATTGTAATATGCTTATACCACCTTATAACTTTGCTACAAGTTACCTATAACAAGTGAGATTTTCCGATTTTCAGGAACTATAACAAAAAGAGGTTAGCTCCGAAATCTCTTGATCATTTTGCAATCTTTGCAGCCATTTCTCTGACCAACTTAGCAGCTACCATAGCAGTCATTCCATCAACAGTATCGCGTTGTGGGTTGAGTTCAACGACGTCTCCAGCAACAACATCACCTTGAAGATTGTGTAGGATGTTAAGAACATCGCGGAAAGAAAGACCTCCCGGTTCAATATGAGACACTCCCGGAGCAAATGCAGGATCAAGACAATCCACGTCTATCGAGATATACACCCCTTTCACACCTTCCCCTAGTTTCTGCACAAGGAAATCACCAAGGTTTAAAAAGAACATACAAATGCACAAGTTAGTATCAATACATGCACACTCAGCATCAAGGGCACTTGTAGCTTCATCAAGAAGTAATATTTTTGGATCTTTCAAAATTGCTCTTCCAATTGCAACTCTTTGCTTTTGACCTCCCTAGAGTTGAGTTCCATGTTCACCAACCATTGCGTCTAGTCCCTAAGATCATTAACCATGTTTAAACAAAATGATTAAATAAAAAAGAACACGCTCAATATGAAGGGGCAGAATATTTCAAACTGTAAAATAGAATTTACTATGACGTTACATGTACATTCAGGAGGAACATGAATACCTTGTACTAATACAGTGAATTGATCGATGAAGCTCCAGCTTGGAGGAATAGAAGCAAGCAATTAGTTGTTATGCAATGTACTCATACTCCTTCATGTAATATTAACATCAACCATGAAACTCAATCACTGTCATACAGGTTAACATAAACAATAATAATTGAAAGCATGTATTTAAAAAAAATGTGAGCAATAATCACTTACAAAATAAAGAAGAATGCAAACAACCCCGATGAAAATGTAAGCAGCGCAAAATTGAATCTGTAACCTTGATAAAGGCCAAATCTAGCGATTAGAGTTCCTATGTTATAACTGATACAAATTAAACGAAAAGACTCGAATTTCAATAACACTTACTACAAATATTTCACTCACATGTGTAGTAGTGTAAATAAAACAACAAACATTAAAATTGTCATTTGTTAGGTGCCATCATCACAATACCCTATAAGACCAGTCAAGTATTTATGATGAACTATAGCAAAACATTTGGCCTTACAACTACTTTGACGTGTTTATATAAAGAAGTTGCAGAAGAGTTAAGTCACCTATTTATAGTTACCATCAGAACATCACAGATGTGAATCACCGCTATCTGAATTATTTGTCGGAGGTGTCTTTTTTATATATACCACTAGCAATCTAATTGCTGCAAAGTCTATGACATCTTTATACCGTAAAAAAGAAATAAAAAGTCTATAACATCTTACTTTCTTGGACGGTCACGTTCCACCCAATGCACAATCCCAGCATCTTCTTTGTTTACGTCGTGGTCAAGAAACTCAACATTGAAATGCTTACTGAATTCAACAATCAAGTGCTTTTCCTGCTTTCGGTACCCATCAATTTTATCTGCCAGCATAACCGCGTGTACCTCCCACGGAAGTCTGCAAGGAAACAACAAATCTGATTACTGAGATTTAATGTAGCCTTTTCTGTTATGGTTCAAAACGCAACATGAACAGTTTCGGGAAAATGATTCAAAAATACTTTTTAAGTAAATTAGCAGTATACAAACTGATCCGCACCCAAAGAAAATGGCTGCAAGTCCTATACCAATAGCTGTTGTGCCAGTACCAGCATCAACGACAAATTTTGTGGCTCTTTGTTTCCCAAGTAAATGATTTTGTGATAAGTATTGCACTAACCGAATAATACCTATACAAAGAAACAACATTTTCATTTAAGTTCTTTCCGCAACAGTCCATAAAGTTAACGGCTATGCATTGTTAAGAGAAAATGATCCCAAAGATATGCATTGTTGTTTTTCAAACTTCAACTTCCCATTACCTAGTAGAGCAACAGAATCACCAGCCCCTTCGTTGACAACTAAAATCTTTTGAAGATGGTTTCTCTCACTTCTACTTGCGTCCATTTTCGTAAAATTTTGAGAAGTAGACAATTCGCCTGTTGAAGAAGCTTGAATGATATCATTGAACCATAGGAAAGCACCACTGTTTCCGGCCACTGACCTAGCATAGTTCTTTAGCATTTCTTCCCTGTTGGCGTACATAGTTCTCGGAACATATGTGACATTTCCATATATTGTAGACATCAAGTTATAGCCAGTCAAGATTTCAGGCTGCTCTCCTCGTAGAAGCAGATGTGACGTAATTCCTCTCTCAGCACACAGAACAGCTGCAAAATAAGCAAATCATGATATGGGTAGCATTAATTGCTAAGAACTAAGCACAATATCCACCAAAAGTACACTTCCCTCCTAAAAAACATAATGCTCAGCATAAACCAGAAAGTTACCTACCAATAGCAGCTGTGTGAGCACTCTGACAACCTCCACAGGTAACCTAGAAAATGTTGTTGAATGTTATTTGATCTTGAAAGGAACCCTGATTTTAGTGATAAGTGATAACCCTTTTGATTTAATGAATTAAAAAATCTATAGTTTCAATGCTTGGCGAAGTTTCCACCTTGAGAGTGCGAACAGATAAGCCACTCGTTTTGTTCTTCATGTTACAAACTTTCGTAAAAGATTAGAAATCAACACAAAGCCTATTGAAATCAACACAAAGCCTATTGAAATCAACACAAAGCCAGCTCAGTTATCTTCCATTCTTTCATATTTCGGAATATATCATGTTGGTCACAATCTTATTGCTCTATATCTATAATAGGGTTAGTCCAAATATTTGGTATGAAAGGAGAGCAAATTACTAAGTAAAATTTGGATAAGGGTTAATTTATGCTCACCTCTAAGACGTTGTAGATCACATACAGTTTGATTGTTGCTTGACCATGGATTATATGATATATGAAGCTGATATCTAAAACAACAAAAAATTAGGAGTGGTGAGCATAACACCAATTTCAGCATAAGAAACAACCTGATAATTCAAAACAGAAATATGTATATGGAACTAAACCTATTTGCTGCAAAACAGTGATTCCACAAGCCATAATAATAAAATAGCCAAAATCCGACAATTCATTGCATGTGTTAATCTGTGAGTATTTAAGATAGAATATTACAAAACTTAACAATCAAGTAGTAAGGATTGATGCACATTACCTCTTCATCCTTTATACAAACATTTGCTCTGTGAGACTTGAATAACTCTAATGCAAAAGGAGTCACGTGAACACAACCATTCAAGTACAAAACCGAGAGACTTCTGCAACCGTCTCGTAATGCCTGCAGGCCATTATCATTGAGATTACGGCATCGATTAACATGCAGTCTCTTCAAATTCTGACAATATAACCCCACTGCTTGCCATCCAGATATCCTCACCTCATGACATAATGCTAAGTTCCATTCTTCAAGTAGTGTACATCCCATGGCTATTGCAACAATAGAAGTATCGGAAACAGATCTGCACATTCGAAAGTTAAGGACTTTGAGGTTTGAGGACAATCTTATTCCAAGCAAGGTATCTCCTAAGGGATACCAACTTAAACAAGATACGTCTAGATACTCTATACCACCGCCACTAATTATTCCCGTCACCCCTTCTGGGTTGAGCTTACAAGACCAAGCCTCTACATGTGTGAGAGATTTTGAACACCCTTTGAAGCCAACACCTCTTATACTCTCACAGTGTGATATGTTAACTGCCTGAAGCTGACGACACCTCTGAGTAAGAGCTTTCAACCCTTTGTCGGATATTTGTGAGCAGTACGAGAGGTTTATGCATTTCAAAGATAAACAAGCAGTGGCTAAAGTCTCTAATCCGTCATCAGAAATGTTGATACACCGATAGAGACTAATTGACGTCAATGAGGGACAACCAGAAGCAACCAGGGATAGCCCGTAATCAGTAACTTTCAAACAACAATCTAGATTAAGTTTCTGTAAATTCGAACCATAGCTTAGCAGACGGGTTAATCCTGAATCATTGAGCTCCGTACAACCACATAAGGATAAAGACTCTAAATGTTGAAAGCGCATCAGTAGCCTATGGAGATGGACAGTATGAACATCAAGACCCTTTCTCGACAAAGAGGATGGATTTAATATACTGAATGAACACTCAAATTGCAGTGACCGGCGGTTGAAATTCTGAATATGGAGCCACCGTAGTCTATCATGTTCATTACAAGTTGTTCACAAGCATTACAAAACCATTATCATCACAAGTCCTTTACATCATACAAAACTTTCACTCTCTCACTTGGCTCACGATTCATTCAATCAGAAAATCACACAAAAAACTCAGAAGGAGATTCACAGAAAGAAAGAAAAACTCACCTTCTGGTTATCTCAAAACAGCATCATCACCTTCCGTTTTTCAATCGTCCTCAATGCATCTTCACTGAATCAATAACTTCATTCGTTCATCATCTTCATCAATGCAACTGATTCTGCAACTTCAACCGAAACACATCACCACGGTAAAATCGAAAGAAAATTGAAAAGAAGTAGAAGAAGATTGAATCAATAATTTATATACCTTGATATTCGGATGATACAAAGATCGCGCAGAAGATGAAGAAGATTGAGTCGAATCGAAGAATGGAAGCTTCACCATTCTAGGCGCAACACCGTACTTCCGGCGGTGGTTCTTTGCTTCAATCGGATAAAAAGCTCTTTCACAAAACCTAATCCTCTTTCAATTTTGTTTGTTACTCCTATTTTGTTTTTTTATATTTTTATTTGTTGTATTTTGTTTATAATTTAATAATAAATATTAGTTGCTGAAAATATTATGATATTGTGTTGATATTATGATATTGTGTTGCTGAAAAAAAGTGGGAAAGTAAAAGAATAAAAAAAAGTAGCCTAACCGTCGTGACAACTGTCGCAATTCAGGAATAATGCTTGAAAATCTACGACGGTTGAGCCTAACCGTCGTGACAACTGTCGCAATTCAGGAATAAGGACGGTTTTGTGGGAACTGTCGCAATTTATGTGTCGTAAATCTCTTTTTTTCTTGTAGTGTATCTACATGAACAGATTGAAAATTAACACCCGAAACCAGACGGGAAAACTATCTTCCTTTCTCTAAGGTTAGAGATTAATACCTTTAACCAGAAAAGACAACTATCTCAACGACCGACGAAAGCAAGTTCCAGATTAATACCTGAAATAAGACAGGAAAACTATCTATCAACGACCAACTATAGATCAACACCTAAAACCAGATAGGAAAACTATCTACATGACCAGACGAAGAAATCTTATACAGGTTTCTTCTTAGACAGTCTCACACAGGATCATCTTGAAGCAGCTATACATAGGCTCTTTCTAATACATCTATAGGTAACGGTTAATTCCATTATCCCCAGCAAATCACTGGAAACCTAGACTTCAACCAGAATACAACAAACTGTCATCTCTCTAGAAATAATTCTTCAGCAGAGCCTTGGACAACTGAAGTCCATAGACTCTATTCCCCATAAAGTTTTCCTCAAATAGGAGAACAATAGAAACCCACATTCCCCAATGGACACCTCCTCATACAACGAGAATAGGAACCCCCAAAGGGACCATGTGTGAAATCAGCATCTACTTTTGATGGCATCTTTAAGCCCATCTCTGATGACTCTCTGTCATCGCCTCCAAATGGCATTTGTAAGCCCATTCCTTGCATCATTAATCATCAATGTTATTTCATGCGAGTGCAAATTTCTAGGCACTCTAGTGTTCAATCAACTCCCACCTTCAGAACACGAAAGGCATACAAGCAAAATCTAAATCCTCAAGCTTAAGAAGATTGAACAGGGGCAGTTGTTGTAACCCAAAATTTTCCCTCTCATGTTTTCCAAGATTTTTTCTTATATGGTTAGTCACAAGCATCTGATTAAAGGAAAAATAAAATTTTTAAACAAGGAGTCTTCGATTGGCATCTTAGATAAGTCATTCGATTGGCATGTTAAAAGGCCTTTCGATTGGTATTTGGACAGGCTTCGATTGAGCGCCTAACCTACTCCAAGTTGGCCTCAAATTTCCAAGCTTCGATTGAAGCCTTGGTTTTTGGCTTATTTTCTTCACACCTGCTTCGACTAGGCATGTTTTCCCTTTAAAACAGCCTCCTTCGATCCAAAGGGGAAGGGCTTCTTGTTAGTGCTCCTTCGATTGCACCATTGTCTTTGCATGCTAGCTTGACTCACAAATGAAATGGCTACCTGCATACAAGCTGGATCCCTGCTTCAATTGAGAATTTTTTTTTCTTGGAGCAAGCTCGTTTCCTGCTTCTACTAGGAAAATTATCCCTTTGGGCATGCCTTCAGCATACAAAGCAAGAACTTCTCCAAACTGGCCTTCTATTCACAAAGCTCCCACTGGGCAAAAGACCCCTCAGCGTGTCACCAGGACGCGTATGCCTCTTCAGCTTGCCTTCAACACACAAGGCCAAGACTCCTTCGGGGTTGACTTCAATCCACCAGGCAAAAATCTTCTTTTGATATGCCATGCAAAAAAGTTTCCTTCGACCACAAGGCACTAGACACCATTGTGCCAGCTTCTCCTAGGCAATGGCCCCTGTGAAATAATTCTCCACACTTCAACACACCAAAGGCCCATTCAAAGGGTACACCAAAAAGACCATCTAAAGACCCATTCGAAGGCTACACAAGGGGTCCACTCGAATGAGGCAACTTGAGGCCAGTTGAAGGGTACACAAGAAGTACATTTGAAGAAGCATGCATAAGGCCCAGTCGAAGGCTACACAAGGGGTCCAGTTGAAGGAGGCAACTTGAGGCCAGTCGAAGAGCAACACTAGAGGGCATTTGAAGGAGTCAAAGCATGTCCAAGTTCATTCAAATTCAAAAAGGGACAAGTTTTCATAACTTTTGCAATGTTACAAAACATCATTCATGGCTTTGAAAACATTTGTTTATGGCTGTTTAAGTCTTTGTTCTCTTGTCCCCTCTATCCCCTCTATATAAAGAAGATAATCGCAAACTCCAAAGGGAGGGGGGGTGAACATAACCATACAAAATTGCAAACACATTCTTTGAGGTCTCCAAAAGCTGTTTCAATCATCATCAGCCTCTAAGCAAGCACACATCTAGAAGCCAAATCGAAGCAATCCTCAAACAAGGGTACCCATACCCACCATCCCAGATTCATCCATCAACCATTGGTAAGAATTGGTAAAAAGATCAATCTCTACATTTGCATGACACATCAACATTTGTAGTTTCATTTGATTTGTTATACAAAGACTAAAGACCTGGGTTCGACCCCAGGTCTGCCTTTGTTTTGCTTCTAACACTTGTTGCAGATCCAATATAAATAAGGCCAGTGCGCACAAAATCGAAGGACCTGGGCTTGGCACCAAGTCATGCTTTTTGGTTTTGCTAACATATCTTTGCAGATTCAGTGCCCTCACAACATCCACCCAGGGTCGAAGGACAAACATCCCACCTTAGATCGAAGGTTACCCCTTTTTTTCCTTTCGATCAAAAGCCACCTTCCTCTAGATCGAAGGCAACTTTCTTCCTCTGAATCAAAGCCATGATTCTCCTAAAATCACCAAAAAAACATCTGGCTATTATTTTTCTAATTAAATTAATTTTGTAAATAAGTTAATTAATTATTTTAACATTTTTTCTTAAAATTAAAATTAAAAAGATTTAGGCTTTATTTTCTTTTATACATAAAAAAAGAAAATAAAAAGATTTTTATTTCTTAGGATATTTTTAGACGTAATTATCAATTTCACGCGCGTTTATTTACATTCGCATTTTTATTATTATTGTACCTGCTCACTGGATGTAATAGATTAAATTTAGGATATTTATTGCTTTATCCCCGTCATTTTTAGACATGTAAGTCCCCTCCCCAAAGTATTGTAATAGCGTAGATTTAAATTCGCGCACTTTAATATTCTGCAATATATATTAACTTCTAGTAATTAGGTGTGTATGATAAGACTAATAATCAAACGATAACAAATTTAAAAAAAAAGACAAAAATAACTGAATTGAATCAATTTCACATATACACCTCTAGGATACCCCACTTTGGTTGCCTTTAGAAATAAAACAGTTACGAGGCAGGAATGCTTTAGCAAAGACCCATAAATAAAAAGATCATAGTCCCTCGATGACCCTACATTTGCCTTTTAGGTACATGATCTAGTCCTTAAAAAAAATTGCTAAAGTGTCTCCACAAGTTGTCTTCGTGATTGTAACGTCCCCTCGAATGTCCCTCATACATCCAACGACAGGGCTACCTACTCACTAATAGTAGGATAGCACTGTCTAAAAGATACGTGGAAAAGAACTACCTTTTCGAGTATAAAAGTAGATAGCTGTTAGAAGTATGCTCAAAAACATTTTGCACTTACATAAATACTGCTTTTCAAAAACAATTTTCAAAACATTTACTTTTCTAACACTCTTGAGGAATGATACAAGAGTTAAACGCAAAGTAAATCGCCACACTAAGGCATTTCAAAACAATTTTCAAACACATAAAGCACGAAGGTATTTCAAAATGAGCAAACATCTAAGAGCCCGTAGATAACTACAGATGGAAAGGGTGCTAACACCTTTCCTTTCCTTAATCTACCCCCTTACTAAGAAAATCTCGAAAAGGTCCTTTTCTGTTCTTTTCACCCTTTCCTTAATTTGGATAAAAGAAAAGTCGGTGGAGACTCTTACTTACCGCAACATTTGCAAACACAAATGCAAAACCAGTAGTATTAAACAATAGGTTCTGCCACCGTATCACATGCACAAACTAAAACAAATTTTACACTACACACTTTCAAAACAAACTAATTTCAAAACACTTTATAAACACTCTTGAGGACTGATACAATGGTTATTATAAAGACGCTACTTTACATTGGCACTTTCAAAACACTTTCCAATACCAACATCTATTTCCAATAAATATTTTCAAAACAAATTTTTTGTATATATTCTCAACGATACGAGAATCATTACAAAATTGCCACACTTAGGCGTTTTCAAAATATTTTCAAACATACACAAACA